AAAAAAAAAAAAAAAAAAAAAACCCTCTGAAGAGGGAAAGGAAGAAAAGAAAAGCAAACTGAATTACCAAGGAAACCAAGGGTGACATTGTTACAGTGCCAAATATGAGAGCCAGAAAATGGGCAGACTACTGGGGCAACATCCCATGATTCCAGAGCAGTAGAATAGCGGCTCTCACTTCTTCATGGCACAAAGATATACTTGGGAAGATACATCCGAGGACAGGACAGTGTGGATTCTGGAGTCCAGGCTTCAGTCAGGTTGGCCTAGGTTAGACCACTAACCTCACCACTGAAGAACTATGCATTTGGATAGCTCATCCCAATCAAAGTCATCCCCCCAACATGAAAATGGGAACAGGATTAAGGACTTAACAGGATGCACACACAGGGTTGGCACAAGTACATGATTCATGGCACTTATCTGAATAAAATCTTGTCCATTCACATTATTAAAGACAGATGTGGAAAACCGAAGTCGATTCAAACAAACAAACAAACAAACAAACAGGCAATACCTATTTACTTAATGCAGTCCTTAGAGAAAAGCCATCCAGTTGTAGCTGCCACTGGCATCCCTTCTCATCTTGGCCAATTCCTACATTGCACCACACAGCTTGATGGCTGCAGGGGCCTTTGTAGGCTATTATTTTCTTGCTCACATTTACTCTCTCCAACCACATCACAAACCACTCAAGTAAACACAGCAACCAAACTATCCATTACACCCTAGGTCCTAAATCACAGTCAACAGGTTTCTGGAAAGTGAGCAGTCAGAAGTGTCAGAGTAAAGGTAGCCGGCAGTAGGGTACAGAAAGCAACTGCAAACTTCATCCTACCCCTGCTCAGAACCCTGGGTCAGTATGGAGGAACAATCCAGCTGCTTGGACAGATCTGATCTCAGGAAGCTGCAGGGCATCAGCTCAAATTCAAGTAACAATAAAAACACAGGGACTCTAGGATTTAGCAAATTTGGGGCTGTGCTTAACATAGTTTAACCTGCAAGCTTGTCATACCGAATTGCTGTTTGCTGCTCAAACCAGAGCGTCTAAAGCAGTCAGTTTATTTTCTGAATTTTTATTATTGTTACTATTATTTTAAATCAGCATTAGACAGATAGCTCATGTGGTTAAGGGGGTGCATAGTACTCTTTTTTTTTTTTTTTTGTTTTTTTCAAGACAGGGTTTCTCCGCCGGGCGGTGGTGTCACACACCTTTAATCCCAGCACTTGGGAGGCAGAGGTAGGCAGACATCTGTAAGTTCAAAGCCAGCCTGGTCTACAAAGCTACACAGAGAAACCCTGTGTTCAATGGCCTGTAGAATACCAGATGGCTCTCAACTGCCTCCAAGTCTAGTTCCACTGATCTGAGGCACTGTTCTGTCCACCACAGGCACTGCACTCACACACAAACCCACACTCACACACGCATAATTTAAATTATTTTAACAGCTCTGGGTTGGTGTTTTTTAAGGGGTGGGTGATAATTTAAAACAGGGTCTTGTGTAGTCTATGCTGTGGCAGTTATTTTCTTCAGCATATCAATGCTGCAACACAACACCCATCTAGCTAGAAAGTGATTTTTGTTGTTTCGAGACAGGGTTTCTCTGTGTAGCCCTGGCTGTCCTAGAACTCACTCTGTAGACCAGGCTGGCCTCAAACTCAGAGATCTGCCTACTTCTGCATGGGTAAAAGTGTACACCACAAACAATGCCTGGCCTAGAAGTGAGTCTTACAAAGCTATCCAGGAGACTGAATGTGGCCTGGTGAAGGGCAGGTAACACAAGCAAAATGCAAATACACAGTAGGTACAGGAAGCCTTATCAACATTCACCACCCAGAGAAAAGGGACACTTAGGAGACCTTTCAAACCAGCGGTGAGTCAATGAGGTAGAACACCAAATCCTCTACCTAGGCCCGAACAAGCTGAGAGAACCCCATCTCCCCTCACATCTGTCCTTCCCTTGTCAAGGACACTTAAAGTATACGACCTTGGCAGAGGCCCAGGGTAAACAACAATTAAATAACAAGCTATGTACCCTGAAGACAGGGAGCAGGTTTTAAATTTAAGAAAAGACATCTTTCTCATGCTCAGAGTGCTGACAGCATGAACACACACACACACACACACACACACACACACACACACACACACAGAAATGATGAGACGACACACTTGGTAAAATGCATTATTTTACTCATACAACCTGTACCTCTACTAACACCCAACCAGTCACAAGCTTCCTGTTTGCTATCCCTTATTAAGAGGTCCCATATTCTCGTGGGACTCCAGCCAAACCAGACAGGTCCCCTAAATATAGCAGGAGGCCTGGAAGGGGAAGGGAATGACTTAGGCTCCCCCCACACCTCCCTGGAAACAGAAACCCACCACAGACAGACAGACGGACAGACAGACAAGAGCCTGGGAGTTGGAGCTACCTCACTCTTGGTTCTCCCCCCTTTGCACCCACTCAAAAAGAAAGTCAAACACTGGCTTCCCAGA